GAGGGTTCGCGAGAAGGGTCTTTGGAGCTTAAGCTTGCTTTATCGTGGTAACGCTCGTCCACAGATCAGGCACCAACAGAACCACAATCCCTATCCGTTTCTGTTGGTCCACTGAAAGTTGAGAGAGTTCAAGAATGTACCTAGTCGAAAGGACCTCCTCAGGTTATTTTGTCCTTCAGAAGCTCAGCGTTTCTGAACAAACGACACCCTCAATTTACATGTTGGAAGGTGATATGTTGTCGAAATGGTGAAGCAAACATTGGTCAATTTCAAGTGTGCTCACAAAAAAAACGATTTTGGAGAGAAAATTGAAAATGCGCACCGAGTTTTCCGACCATCTAATATTAGTAAGATGAGAGCAGCAAAACTCTGACTGACCAATCCGCAGCACATAAGCGACAGGATGGAACTGCGGAATGCTATGGCAGAATTGCAGGAAGCGACTCGACTAGCATTCACACTCTTTACGTCACTTACATACATACAGTTTTTAACGCGATCCACTGAGAATTCGCTACATAAAGAAGTGACTGCGCGACAACCTGATATTTCATTCCTGACCTCCAAAGAATCCGGTAACTCGAGAAATTATGCTATTATAGAAGCCAATAATTTTCAGTAAAACACAGTCTGTTATTCTGAGCGCTTGCGGCTATACCAAAGTCAGTGGATGAATTTTTTTATAATGACTTTCAGTTTATGCGTTTAAGCATCGATCAGACTAATTGCAGTGCTAGACAGAGCAGCAGCTGAGGTGATGCTTTTTCACGTCGCTGTGGCCGCATAGAGTCTATTCCAGTTATGTCAACCTCACAGTATGGAAGCAGCATATAAATATGAGAAGGGAGAGGCAGTCACATCGTTCAGCTCTGACAAGTGTTTCAAACCCTGAGCCTTATCATTTTTTGAAATTTCCAGCTCTTCCGTGCAGTATGAGGCTTCTTACGCTTTCTGTTCTTGTGATTGCGTGTGTGGAAGCAGTGCCAAAGCAGCGCCGTTCTACTCCAGAGGAAAAATCTATCGAAAGGCTGAAAGTGAGAAGACGTTATTTAATAATTCTTCTTCTAAAGGTAAATTATAATTCAAATGCTTTAAGAGAGAAACTATCAATAAAATGCAACATAACATGGGACGCTCAATTGAGGAAATCAACGAGAACAGTGGAGTTGCAGGCGCATACCACGGAGATATTCTCTTCACTGGGTTGGTTGATGCAATTTTCTCAGGGCTTCTTTAGCAGAATTCATGATAATATTAAGGGATGAACTGGAAGAGGTGGGGACCCGTTCCAAAAGACAAGCAATGAGTAACCTCAAAAAGAGATGGCCAAATAAAACGGTCCCCTACATATTCTATTATATTGGTGAGCTTCTTTCAAGTTATCCTGCGCATACGAGTGAAGAGCTGACAAAACTCCCCTTTTCGCTACATTCAGATGAGAAAACCAAGGATGCCTTCAAGAAAGCAGCACAATTATGGATGAACAACACGTGCATTGACTTCAACGAACATCCACAATGGACGAAGAGGGGCGACCCCATTCCACGTAAGAAATATTCCAATATCTTTGTTCTTTACGAATCTCCCTCGTCTATGTATCACACAATCCACTAGCTGTCTGTGTAACCGTTCAACCGAACATCTGCCCTACCTTGAACTGACACGCTCTGATGATCTTAAGAAAATAACAAACTTGCTATGGATAGCTTTGAGTACATGGAGCGCTTCGGTATTTCGCATGTATGAGGGACTTGTATATGGAACTTAAGAATAAGTTTAATGCTAATTTTTTGAGCTGTTCTGTGAGTATAAAAAAGGAATAAAATATCGCTTAAGGGATCCACCGGCTGACGGGAAATTTTTGCATTTCATGTTACACCATTAACCTCTCTGAGTAGGTTATCACCCAAAACTTGTGAAAAATTGTGTGGGTGAACTGGCGCAGAACAAATCCAAATGACATTATATCGCGCTGCCGTCAAAAATCGATATCGGCTTCGTAATCAACACTCTGGATTGCTCCTATAGGGCGATGTCCCAGAGAAAACAAATAATTTG